TTTAATATCTTAACTAATAGTTACTTTAATTAATTTGAACCATTACCCCTAGTTACTTACTCAAATATAAGCTGTGTATATTTCAATTCCGTAATGTATATAATTATTGTGAGTCGATTGTAAATGTGTTTGCGCGTTGAATTGAATATTACTGACAGTGACAAAGAAGAACGTGTAATAATAATATTATTTACCTCCCTGCCAATTTGTATAGACGCCGACGAAACCATTATTTACCCAATTACGGTGCTTGACAAAAAAATTATTCACAAACGTCGTTAGCATTACGACGTACAGTTGCATAAAACATTGCATTATGTTAAATTCAATTTAATACAGAATACATTAACTCGTGATGGAAAATACTAAAGTTTACCGCCTCGTGGCCTCACGGCAAGACGCATCGCGTGGTTGGTCTTGGCTTTGAATATTGGTGATTTAATTTACAGTTTTATATTTCAACTAGCTGTGCCAGCGACATCGTCACTTGCGGTAGAATTTTTAATTATTTAGGCTGTTTATTAATTTATGTAAGGGCGCATTTAAGGCAGCCAATCTATGGTAAGTGCTACTTTGCCGCAACACTCTCACTCCCACGCCCACGCCCACGCCCACGCCCACGCCTATTCCTATTCCCAAAAAGCCAAAGAAGAAAGTTTTATTTGTTCTAGCTTCAAAAACCACAAATTTCCATACAAACTTTCATCACCTTTTTCAGCCCCTATCAACCTTTATTTGGCATTAAAAAGTACCTAGTCTATGTCCTTTCTCAGGCTCTAAAATTTCACTCAAAAACAGTTCTGTACTTTCGGAGTTAAAGCCGGACAGACAAACAGACAGAGTTACTTTCGCATTTATAATATTAGTATAGATTTGCCGCGTACTCCGAAGACTTAACATTATGCATGACGTTACGACAAAATGGTGGATTTAACGAAAACCCTAAAATGGAGGGTGTAGATATATTAATTTATTTCCAACTTTAATTATTAAGAATAGAGATTGCCGAAATAACATAATGTGTTGTTTCTTTTCAGGTAATTATTTTTATATAAAATTGTTGTAGAATTTGTAAGTTTAGATTATTATAACAAACGTTAAGTCTTTTGAGATAAATGCAACAACAATCGTTTTATTTCGCATAAATAATCTCTTTAAATATATAGTTCTAATTTTATTGTCTTTAAAAATATGAAATATACGTGTGTTCCAATAAAATGGGATTTCACACTAAACCGGAAAAAACTAAGATAAATGCGTAGTACCCATAATAAAAATATAAAAACCACATTATAGAAAGACGATCAATCTCTGATTTAATATAAAATCTAATAGGAAATAATGACGTAATAGATGCCGCCAGCGACGCCCGTTCCCACGACGCGTCTAAGGATAATTTCGGTTTTTTAGGAGAGAAAACAAATTAAGTTTCGGTGATCAGGCGTCTCTCGTCCTAACCTGAGCCGTTTCTTCGCAATATCTAAAATGCTATTACAAATACATTTATATAAGCACCAAAAAGTGGTCCCGCAATTTTCGCCACATAATTAGGCCATTATGCGAAATTTTGTTATACCAACATAATAACGCTTTTAAACGGCGACCCGCAAGGACTTCGTTTTAAAAGACAATATTATTCCCGTCCTGATGAGGTTATCGTGCTGAAATTTTACTGCGAAATTGCCCTCATCACGAGTTTATATAAATTATGATTAAATGTACTAAATTGGTAAGGGCGGCGAATTTAAAAACATATTAGCTCTGTATGGGGATTAAAAATAATAATTCATCGGACCAACGGTCCATTTTTTTAACTTATCAAAGTGTTAGATTAGTGAGTAACAATTAAATTCGTCAAATTAAATAAAATTCGATGTTTAATGTAACACGTTAAAAAAACTTGTTTAATTTATAAAAATACAAACAAATACTGTCTATAGTTTACGCGAGTAGTAGACATTTAAATAAAACACTTTAACGGTTTAAAACGCGATATATTAGTTAAACTTATTTGAAAATGATTTTTAACTTAAAGTTAAACTTAAAGTAAAACTTTAAAAAGTAGCCGTGGTCACGGGGAGACAGTCTCCCCGTGACCACGGCTGCTGCAAAGCATCCGAAACGTCGGGCCGAAGTTAAAAATCATTTTCAAATAAGTTTAACTAATATATCGCGTTTTAAACCGTTAAAGTGTTTTATTTAAAAAATACAAACAAGTTTCTTTTAAACGTCATAAGATAGAATGTACAATCGAAATTATTATAATTTATTATATTCAAATCTGATTAGTGTCTGTAATAACACGCTTAAGAAGGCTCTAGAAGGAAAAGGAACCTTTACCTTCCAGCGCAATCTTAAACTTCTTATCCTCTGTCTTTCTATTGCTATGTCTACTTGGAGAGTCTGGTGCTCCAGACTGTCAGGCAGTTCTTAGTGATCTTCGATTATCAGTTGGAGTTGGTTTTAGTGGGTATTACGATCTTTTTTACAGATGGAAAACCTAAAGTAGAGTTTCTAGGCCCGTTAACAAATGATGTTTGAGCAATTCACATTATACGATTTTAAAGCATTCAATTTCAGCACTTGTTGTCTAAATACTGTCTATAGTTTACGCGAGTAGTACACATTTAAATAAAACACTTTAACGGTTTAAAACGCGATATATTAGTTAAACTTATACGTATACAGGTTTACCGAATATATCGCGTTTTAAACCGTTAAAGTGTTTTATTAAAATGATTGTCTAAATTTAAAAGCAAATTAATGTAAAAACATTAATAATTTTCGCAGTTTATTGCACATGATGGCATAATATGAATTAAAATCTATTTGGATTGATTGCATTTACGACACGGAGGACACGGTAGCTCAATTTGTTAGACCGGCAGTGCTGTTGATGCCGATACAACTCCCGCTTGTGTCTATATATGAATAATCCAAATACTGTCTATAGTTTACGCGAGTAGTACACATAGCCGTTGTCACGGGGAACCTGTCTTCCTGCAGCGAAGCCTCCGAAACGTGGGGCCGTTGTTAAAATAATTTTCAAGTAATTATATAGTATGTTTCAAGTAATTAATATATTTCGCGTTTTAAAGCATGGAACGAAGTGCCGCTCGTCTTGTAAAAATGTTTCAATCTAAATCCATTCTCAATTAGTGAAGTACTGTATATTTCATTAACTCAAGCTGTAGCTCACAAATAGTGAGCGTGGAGTATAGCTGATTAGCGGTGGTGCGTTTTATTGTTAGTCACAAGCAATTGGACAGCTGTGAGCCCTAATAGGGTTCATGGTGTAACATTATCCCGTCACCGAAGGCACCCACACTGCCCCCGAGTACCATGAAATCACGACTAACTTTGTACATTATTCCATAAAAGCGTGTAATTTCGAATGACTCGCATGACTGGCTTGTTGATCTAGTGGTTAATATACAACTTCAAATCACGAAGTCCGGTGTACGAATCTCGTGTAAGGCGAAATCTTAGTTCGGTAATTGTATTTTATTCTTTGAAATTTCGTTTCGTAACTCGAAATTTCGAAGTAGGAGTTTATAAAAAAGTCTAATGAGCCTAAATGTACGAGTACATTTTAAAATAAATCACATTAAACAGTAAAAAAACTCAAAGTTAAAAATAATAAAATGTATGATATATATCGCGTTTTAATCCGTTGTAAAAAGTATATCTGAACTTGTAGATTTTTTTCTAATGTAGCAATAACTAAGTACTTATAAGTGACGTACGAATCAGAACACACAACAGTGACACAAAGGTTAAATCTTTAATTAAATAAAGTGTCTTCTACTAAACTGGCAAATTTTATTATTGTAATTATTGCTATCGAATTTTCAATGTTAACACAAATTAATATTACCGAATCCCTTTTTTTTCGGTAACGTATTGGTATCGAGTATTACTCGTACTTGTATAATTGGTTACCAAATAGTGTAATCGGTACGACTTGATTGCGACCCGCTAAAGGATATCGCAGCGGTCGTACGATGTGAATACCGCGAGACAATTTGGCAAAATTTATTACGTAATGACTTTTTACCCGGCTCAAGGCGAAATTGAATCTCGCAGTCCCGAGTTTCAATTAAAATTTTATGTTCCGCAAATTACTGGCCAATTATCTTCCATTAAATGACGTAAAATAAGATCAGGTATTCGTATACTTTGAATAATGTTTATGACGTGTTCGGTATATTGATTTTGCTATTGTCGCAGATGCATTTTTTATGCTCATAAAATCGAAATAAAAAACTTAAAACTATTTAAAATATGAAATATATGGTAACTTTAATCATAGCAGGCGGTTTAAAATCAACTAAAACATCGAAATATTATTCATGTTTTTACCCGTTTAAGGTATTTAAGTAAATGCACCATTGGGTATCGCACCCACCACCCATTAATTTTTAGACACACATTTATAGCTTTAGATCTACAACCTGTAAGTAAAAGCTATTAGTATGCGGTTGGTCATGGACTCGAGTCTCGTTTGAGTCATAAATGTTTATGACTCAAACGAGACGAAAATATTTTACACTACTATTATAAACCTTAATATTTTGTATATTTAAACGCCTTAATCTCAGTAGCTACAGGTTTGAATTATTTTTTTTTGTTTTTGGAAAATTCCTCTGTGAGGGGTTCCATTGCGTGCGCTCCGAAAAGGCTTCAAGAAACCACAGAATATGTATGAAAAAATTAATTGAATTTAAATGATATTAAAAAATGTCCACGACATTATACGTTCATTTCGTATGATTAACTCGCTAGAACGAAGGGGCGCGGACGATGTCGTGGGTAACAGCTAGTTATAAGTAGAGACGAAATCTCACTCTCATATAAAGCTCAGCTGTAAATGTGAAGATGATCAGAACCAAAATAGCCCCGCAGATATCCGCCGCTCTTATGACGCAGCCCGATATTTATGTCGCCCTGCCCCGCCCACAGTCGCGGCTCCATTCAGCCTGTTTGTATTTATTTCTTGCCTATTTATTTGTATTTGCTTTTGCCTTTGAATAATGCATGAGCTGTAAGTTTCCGACGTGTGTAGGCTGCGTGACGCCGAGCACCCTCGTCGCCTGTACATCAGCTCCGCTGCCTGGTCGAGGTTTCATAATATCTAAATTCTCTATAGAATGTTTGACTGTTTAGTGTCTGTGTTACGTTTAAAAACTTTTTTTCACATGTTATTGCACATGGTGGCACTATATAAATTAAAAATCGATTATAAATTGATTGACATTGTAAATTTAAAAAAAAATACGACTCGGGCAGGACTTGAACCGGCATCTGACGACGTCATGTGGGAAACTTTAGCTCAATCGGTAAGAGTAACAGCACGGAACACTGTGGATGTTCGTTCGATGTAAGCACGGGCTATTATAAATAATGCCCAAGAACGATTAATTTGTTAATGTGATTGGCCATTATCCGGTATATTTTTATAAAAAATTATAAACGTAATGCATTGAATAACCACATATCCATAATTTGTGCAATTTACTCGAATAGTATGTAAATGAAAAAAAAAACAAAGGTTTGTAAATACTAAATATATAAACGTGTTTTTAATTGTATAGTCACTGCTTGTCAGGTCGTAGTTAAAATAAAAAATAAGATTAGTAATATATTTTGAATTCTAACAGTTACAAATAAGTTTGCAAATTTTAACTATCACTACGTGGTTACCTTCTCCACGGTCATTTGTAAGGTAATAATATTTTTAACTTCGGCCCGACGTTTCGGATGCTTTGCAGCAGCCGTGGACACGGGGAGACAAAAAAGAAAGTTAAAAATCATTTTCAAATAAGTTTAACTAATATATCGCGTTTTAAACCGTTAAAGTGTTTTATTTAATTGTATACTACTCGTTTAAACTACAGTATCTAAACCTATGTACTTTTAAAGGTTATTGTATTGCAGCTACGTGCGATGTGTTCTTTAATATAATATGATTAATTATTTTAATTTAAGTCTTAATTCCTCATAAAGTGTTGCGTAGTACCAATCTATCGACTCGATTCCTTTTATCTAATCCATTTATCGATTCATCTCGATTCTCACGCAGTTAATTACCATCGAATGGTGAATTATAGTATTAATTATCGATAAGGGAATTTTTATTAATGTGTTCCCTTGGTTCGTCTTTTACTTCTTTTCTTTAACTGCCTCGTGGGTCAAGTGGTTAGTTCACTAGATCAGAGATCGAGTCACTGGTTCATATCCAAAATTACGTGAAACATTAGTATGGTATTTTTTCTGGGAAACCTGCAGTTATCAGCTTGTGTAGAAGTAGGTGGTACCTTAAGCTGAGAGTATCAAAATGTTGATAAAATTCGACTATGACGTGTAGGATTCGGTAGCTCAATTGATGCTAGAGTAGATGCCGGTTCAAGTCCTGCCCGAGTCGTAATTCTTTTTTCAAATTATAATCGATTTTTAATTTATGCTAAATTGTTGGGTAGATTATCAGTTACTTAATGGAACGCGTTCTAGAGCAGCATGTGGAGTCTCTTAAAACTCTCTTTCTTCAAGAGAAAGACGTGTATCCTGCAGTAGTTATAAATAGGTAACGAAGATTCCTTCAGTGGGTAAATCATGAATCCTTATCGATTGACTCCGCCCAACTAGGATTTACTGATTATATCAACTGCATGTTATCATTCCACTTTGTCCAAGTTTGTTGAAATGCTAAATTATAGATTATACTTTGTCTAATATATTATGGCAAGTTTGACATTTTACAATACGCGTGTAATACAAAATTATTGTAGAATTGGAGATTAATAGTTTGTATTGGTGTGTATGTGTGTGATATCCCGTTTCCCCCTCGTGGGGCATGGGGCGAACACATTTCTGTCTCCGTTTCACTGAACCGTTTTTTAACAAGCAAGTAGTCGATCATACTTCTGTGGCCTGCTCGAAACATTTTTTGTTCGTAAACATTCGGCTACAGAAGCAGTTTGTATTGATAGTAGTATTAAAATACAGGGAGAAAATATTACACTCTTTTAGTCTGGAAATTGTATATAAATGAAAGATTATGAACATGTAACAATCATTCAATTAATGTGAGAATCAGTTAATGCGCTATAATCATTCATAATAAAATAAAGCATGTACAAAAGTTGTGTATAAACTTACCTAATAAAAGGGAATGTAAACCACGGCTTTTTAGAGTGTCAAAAGCAATACCAAGCACCGAAAAGATGTTTACGTCACGAACCTATGATTAATGCTCGCATTCCTTTAGTAACAAGTTCATCGTATTTAAATTTAGCGCGGCGCGTGCCGTACGCGGGTGTCCCAGCTTCAGGAGAATGGGCGGTGCCGACCACCATCACTCAAGTGACGAAAATTGACGGAAAATGGGCGGACACCGCTTGCCCGCGACGTCATCAATTACGGCTGCACGACGGTCACCGCACATGCTTGGCAGTGAGACATGCATGCCTAATATTCTATTGGGCCATTTATAGCAACGCAAGATAATTCAGTGTGCTTGTCTCGAAAGCAACAATGTTCATGAACAAAATAACTATTAAAAAAAAAAATTGTTATTGAGCACTTCCATTTTCCTTTTAGCGATGTGTGATTTATATACTGATTGTTGTGTACGCGAGTAGTACACATTTTAATAAAACCTTTTTAACGGTTAAATCGTGATACATGTTAGCTCGCGTTTTAAACCGTTACAGTGTTTTATTTATATGTTGATGTTTATAGCACTGTTATACAATGTTTCAGTATTTTACAGGAAACCATGCCTGTAAACCAACGACTAAACGGTGCAATTAAAAGAAATCCCTCGTGTTAAGAACCAGAAACCCTCAGAGTAATCTCCCAACTGGTTCTATTATCGATTCTCGATTATATTGGACATATAAAACAGTTAAGTGTTTAGAAAGCACAGTTCAGTTCTTAGACGTAAACGCAGGAAGCCAATGCAAGTGTAAGCTCGACGTTCGGTTTTGAAAATTGCCTATAATTAGCATGTATCTTACTCGTCCGAACGACCGCGTTTAAGGGAATGCAACCACAGGCTAAATAATATTCCAGTAGCGTTTACCGAGTAACGGCAGGCGAATGTGACGGACACAAATTGCCCGGGGAGATGGCCATACAAATTGTAGTCTGTCTCGACACAATCGACTGTAAGATTGTTTCTCGTGAGCATCGAAGTTTGCGAGGCTAACTTGTAACGGTATGCGCGTTTTCGCTTCTTATGCACGAAATTTTTATAATATAGTTCTGAGAACTGGTGATTGAGCTAATAAAATTTAATACTGTTTTTATTGAGAAAGAGATATCTATAGACCGAAAAATACTGGACGCCGATTCCGAGTTAGTTTAGTTAGTACAACCTGAAAAATCTCTTTTCAATCAATTACCTAATGCCGGGCAAGGGGTGGACATTTTTATTTCAATAATCGTTTTCATTTTCAAGTGATCATACTTCTGTTTCCCCCCAAATTAATGTGATTACGATTTGAACCCTGAATTTCTCGTTACGCATTACTTAACTGGCTCATTTGTGCTTCGTGCCCTTGACTATAGTCGACGAGGTCCCGGGTTGTTATCGCCACTAATCTAATGGAGATAGTCTTTCAAGCTCATCAATCTCTACTGGAACAGCGTGGTGGGTCTAAGCTGAAACCTGCTAATCCCAGCTGTGGAACATTAATAGACTAAAAAGGTGTTTTAACCAACGCAGGTCAGTTCTATAAGCTAACCAATATTTCATAGTTGTAGTAACAATTCATTTTGCCCTTGAATAGGTAAGGTAGGCGCCTCGCGTTCGTGTGCATAATTTACATCACAAGATAATGCCTCTAGTATCGGCAGCAGCGCCAGTCACGTCTGAGACATCTGATCGTAACGAGGAATGGGGTATTTGTGCTGTGCAGGTTGGTAATTGCGCAGCTATTATCAGGCGACCCCATAACGCCGTCAGAAGACAAATTAGGACTACAATGTCGAGGAAAATATCGTGTTGTTGTGTGTAATACAATTGTATTGAGCTTATTGTGACGCTGTGGCTCAATAATTCACGACCTGTAAAAAATTTTGGTTTCAGTGAAATATATGTCACGCCCCATATAAACCCGCCAGGAACTGCGCCTTACTATGCCTTATATGTCCATACTTAAGAATTAATCCAAAGTACATTTCTGATTAAAATGTAAAAGATTTATTGCTTTATATTGAACTAGCTGTGCCCGCGACTTTCTCTGCGTAGAATAGTTATTTTGGGCACCAGTTTGTTTTAGCAAATCTCCTCCTTATATTTATAAATTTTAGCAGTTTCGTGGCTAACAGCGTCCCGTTGTTCTTGCAAGTTCATCTTAAAAAGATAGACATGTAGTGCCAATTTTTTAGAACATTTAAAGAGAAGTCATTCTTTCAAAAAAATAACTTCGATGATAAATACATTTCCCGTTTTCCCGTTTTCCTAATTTTCCATAGTTTCTTCGCTCCTAGTGGTCGCAGTGTGAGGTCCAACACTACATTTTTCATTTCGAAACAGTTGTTCCTAGGATTAGCGCCTTCAAACAAACAATCTCTTCGGCTTTATAATATTTACCTATAGATGTAATATAACATACCACTTAGATTATAGACGTAGTGGGCGTCGATTAGTAATTTTATGTAAGAACTAATTATAGAAATTTTATACAATAAAGTAACAAGTACGTATACAATAAGAAATCAAAGAGAATAGCAGAATGCCGACGCGACTTCTCGTCGCCGGATTCTTTGATGTCTCAATTAGCAACATGAGCGGGTAATTGTGAAAACTAATTCGCGTTCGGGTGGATCTGACGTCATTGAATAGTTATTCCAGTTTATTGGTCTTTATAGGGACTTTACTTAAACACTGTCTGTAGTTTACGCGAGGAGTACACATTTAAATAAAACACTTCACCGGTTTAAAACACGATATATAAGTTAAACTTATTAGAAGGTTCAGGAATCAGGTTCGATTTCCGGTAACAATATTTTTGTTCGCTACAAAGGTTCTACTACCTTTTGGATCTTCTGGACGTTGGTTAAAAGGGATTTTACACTCAAAACAAGCTACTCCATCCTCACGTTTCAACTTTCTACATCCCCACTAAAGCAATTCGGAACGGGAAGTGACTTGACACTAGTGTAATTTACTTCACACCAGATACCTCTAAGAGAAGCCTTAATAAACCAATTACGGTTCATTACCTAATGGCGACCGGAAGACAAATATTACCCGCTCATCATTACCAAGACCGCAAGCTCCCCTTTGTAAAATATTGCACTTATGTTTGTTAAAGAGATGTGATGCTAACGGCTCTATCGGAAGGGCGTAGGGCTGTGGTTTGCTATAAACGCAGGGTATAGCTTCACGCGTGGTCGATTGATTAAACGTGCCTAGCAATTCGTTAAGCACAAGAGGTCCTGGGTTCATATCCCAGGGAAACTATAGATTGTTTCTGTCTACTACTTGCCAGAAGAACTGATTGTAACGGACACAGAAATGAGTACGCCCCATTACCCACGGGGGGAGGAGAGGAAATTTGACTTTTAAGCTTCACTTTTTATGTTGCTTCATTTCAATATAAATATTTACGTCTACAACGTCAAAAAACTAAACATGCTACGATTCGAACTTTGTGAATTGAAGCATACTAACCGGTAGACCAAAGAGGCAGTTACACCGCTCCATATCATGGGTATGTACTGTCATCTCCACACATTTGATCGCCATGTCCTTATTTCGAATCAATGCAGTTTGTCAATTTGTATTAGGTGTCTAAAGCGTACAACACGTATTAACCAATTAGCGTTTAATAGCGCGGCGTAATGCATTATGTCAGTTCTAGGAGACCACGACCTAAAGTTATTAAAATACTGAACGTGTATGAAAAACGCGAGTCGTTGCGGTCGTGTGATGAATAGCTTTGGTCATTCTGACCCCAAATGGAACATATGGCGGGGCGCTGTTTCTAAGGGTTATATAAGTTTGCTAAATATATATTAAGTGTATCCGTGCTCGTGTTTACATTCAGACGCCTACAATAAGTATTTAATAGATTTGTGTCCTTATTTAGCGTAGTGGGTAAAAAACAAAGAAAATTATGTTGTTGTCTACCAGTATGTACCATAATAGAATTGTCTGAATTTATATATGGCATTTACGTACCTTAACAGGGTTTTCAAATCATTTTTTTCGTCATTATTTTTAACATTTTAATATTTATATTATTTAGTGTTATACGAACTTAAAAGTTAGACGAAATATACTTATTAAGAAGTTGTATGCATTTCGCTAATAAAGTAGAGAAATAAATATATCTGTCGAACCTACTTATTTTTTATTACCAAAATAATAGGTAGAGGAGGAAGGACAACCATGAGGTCCACTTGATAGTGATGGTGGATTACGTTAGCCATACGACATCTCAACAAGGCGCACGCGCAGTTGACCTAGTTTGGCTTTAAATATTCGGAAATTCAAAACTAAACCGAAACGCGTTTTAGTTACACGCCTTTTTTCTATGAACTTTCGTGATCCGAACGGAATTTCGATATTTCTACCACCTAGGTAATTTTAAGAAGGGGGAAATTGTATGTTGGTGGGGTCATCCCCAAGACCAGTTTTTAGCCATATAGTCCTACCATTAGTCCAACGAGAGTTACTTCCCCTTTGTAAAAACTTCTACAACATACCGAAAACACATTTACGGGCTACGAATGATAAATTAAGCTCTTATAATTATTTTCCACTCTAATTACAGAACATGGCAACCCTGTAATACAGCAGCGAAGCTCATTAGAGGTGCTATTTGATTACAAATTTAGTAGTCTGCAACAATTAAATTTTCCACTTTTCCAAGTGGTAGGACGGATTTTGAATTACGGCGAGGTGAATTTTAAATATGCCCTCCTCTATAATTATTGACGATAATTTTATCGAACAAATAGGCCAAAGTACATAATAACACCATCGGCGGAATTAATTATAAGTAACCATCTTTAGAAAGGTGTCCTCGTTCACGCGTTAGCGCAAAGTTTAGAAATCCACAAAACTTTGATTGCAAGAGTGTGTAATTATTCCAAACTGTCAATTTGAAACGTTTTACTTTACTATCATCATTATTTATAATGTTTCCAATAAAACAATACATACAGAGGAGTACACTGGCTCGATTGTGAAGTTACCATAATATAATTAATATATTATCTTTATCCTTCAATTTGCTCAATACGATAAAATTTTAATTTAGCCTAATTGTAAGCTCTCTAGTAAACAAAAATGTGAAATTTCTAAATATCTAAGGGTATATGAGACGATAGGATATTTTAA